GTACGTGTGTGTGTGCACGTGTGTACGTGTGTGTGTGTGTACGTCTGTGTGTCGTGAGACACCACCACCACCCAACATGTCCAAACGAATTCATTGTGAGCGTCCACAAGCGGGTTGAGATCAATTTCCATAATTGATATTGTAAATGTTTTGAACGACGAGGCCAGCCAATGTTGGGCCAAAGTTGGGCCAATGTTGGGCCAACGTTGGCACTAATGCCACTCCATTCGAAACGTAGGGCCAACGTCTGTATAACGTTGCGTGTATACAACTTGGCGGGATGCACTGCTCTTGCTATTCCAAGTGTCGAGTTGTTTTGCGAGTGCGGGTTAGGAACGTTGCATAAAGTGTCAACCTCCACGGAATGTCTCCACCTTCGCGTTATTTCCTGGGACACTCTTTGAGTGTAAAATTGTCCGTGTGACAACGGCAACAAACTACCCCCCCCCCCATCGCAATTTCCCCTCGCGAATAACAATGATAACATCAGTGGCGGGTTCTCTGGGGGCCTCCCTCTCTCGATAGCGACTCGGGCCTTCAATGACCACGAAGCACGTGTCCGTGACCCGCTCGTGTAGCCGTGCCGGCCCAAATAGATGCTCGCAAACAGCCCGTTAAGGCTACACAGGGATCCTCTTCACTATCAACGCGTTTGCCATTCTAACAGTGACTGCTGTGACTGTGTAAGGCTCTCTAGAGTGCACTTAACGCACACACACACGCACTCACTCCATATCCACCGCACAGCATATATTCATTACCACCAACGGCCACCTCCCTCGTGCATGGCAACTCATCATACTTCCCCCCCGATCGCCTCCCTCTCGCCTACACCTATAACGTCTCCCACACAGTGTAGACATCCACTGCTGTCTCCAATAACATCCAATCTACTATGGCATCTCCCCACTGTTCATTATGTGGCTATCTCCCGTAGCAGTTATCTCCAGCAGCCTATTATTTAACCATACACTCGTTTCTATTATTTTGCAGAATCTCACTCGGCTTTACATATAGCAAGACCCTTTTAATGTGCTGCCTGTAGCATACTGTACCTTTTATCTCAAAGCATGTTCTACACCATCTCTTGATCGCATCAATAAGCTGTCCCATCTTCTGCGTGCTATCTCATATGTCGCGCCACTTTTCTCCTTGAACGTGCATCTTCTTAGAATTCAGAATTTTGCTGACATTTCGAATTGGCCTATATTCTGGCGTAGTCAGACCAGCAGCCCGTGAAGGAAAAAAATCTCCTGGAGAACTTGGCACTTGGCCTTAAAAAAATGACAGGCGACTCGGGTTGACTGTAAACAAATATGGATATGCGGCGCCAGGGAGACGATTCGAGTCCGTACTCGAGTTTAGTGGCTCATGGAAATGTAGTAATTGTGTCTGTGTCTCTGTCTCTTGCCTCAGGCTGTGCTTCGAGTGGGAGAGACAAAGAAGGACTTGCGAGGGAGACCTCTCGATCAGAGTTTCTGTGTTCGTAGGTCCTGCCTCTCTCACGGCCCCTGAAGTTCTCTGTGCAGTGAAGGCCCAACTATAAGACTGCAAGGGCTCACTCCTCAGGCATCCACTCCAGGCTTCAATTGCTTCAAGGCCCAATTCTTCAACAACTCAAGGTATTAGTCTTCAAGCCTTCAAGACCCTGTTAAGTTCGACAAAATCTGAAGTGCTCACTCTTCAAGGCCTAAAGATCCAATTAAGGGTTCAAGGTCCCACTCCTTAAGGTGTGAAGGATCAACACTCCACAAGGACCCTCGGACCCAGGAGTCCCACAGACGACGCCTCAGTCAGTGGTCGATGACCGGGTTGGCCACTGTGGGGCAAAAATGGACGCAGCCCCAGGTACAAGGTCAAGCTGAAGGCCAAACATGACGAATTGACGGCCAGTGTTATTTGGCAGTATTAGTAATGATTCCATTTATTATAGTGTTATTGGGAGTAAGGAGTTTCTATACTCTGTTGTGTACGTGTTAATTGAGACTTTATATTGTGAATGAGACTTTGCACACTTAATTTTTTTTACAATTAAAAATTATTGGTACTGAATTAAAATATTTAGTACAGACGATTAGTAGGTCAAAATCCGAATCTCAATCCGGTTTGGGAAGAAAACCCTGAACTGGACCTTGAACTGTGTTGCCAACCGGATCCGGATCTAATCATTTGGATTTAGACTGAATTATCTCCAGTTGCAGATTGAGACCTCAATCAGTGCCATTAGATTTTCCAAATCAGCGGAAGCGATGAGCACAAGGAAGAACACTCCCAAACTATGAATGTGCGCTCGCAAACACGAGGCGCTCCAACAATTCGAGGTGGATCGAGCGAGCCAATGGCTGCAACGAAGACGATGACAACGCCACTCGGGTGGACGAGGAGGTGGTGCAGGAGGAGGAAGAGGGCGTCGACGGGGACGCGAGCGGTGCCGACGATCGGACAGAATCTCCTTCTGACACTCGCGCTCTCCTGCTTCCTCATTTTCTCTGGAACAACGGCATCCGGAACGGGAAACGTGACCGGATTGGACGCTGGCCCCACAAAAATGGAATCGTGGGCTGGGCTCGGCGGGATCGGAGCTGGAGCTGAGGACATTGAGCAGATCCTGAAGACACTCGCCATCGCCGCTGCCCGAGCCGGAACCGGTTTCGGAGCCGGAACCGGAACTGGATGGGGCGGCGCTGGCTGGAGAGGTGGGCGCGGCGCCGGCGGTTGGGGTGACCCCGACGAGAGCGAGGGGGCCCTTGGGGGTGGCTGGGGATCAAGCACTCTGACCTTGACCGTATGGGAGAACGAGCCAGCTGGGACCCTCATCGGTGATGTGAGCGCCGCCTTCCGAGCTCCTGCAGCAGGTGATTGCAGCGATGGCAGTGGTGGTAGTTCAGGTTGTGGTGGTGATGTGGCCTGTGCTAGAGTGGATGTGGTGGTTGCGATAGTAATGATTTTAGTGATGGTTGTGGAGGTAGTTTAGTTTGTAGTGGTTCAGGTTGTAGTGGAGATGTGGCCTGTGCTAGAGTGGATGTGGTGGTTGCGATAGTAATGATTTTAGTGATGGTTGTGGAGGTAGTTTAGCTCATTGTGGTTCAGGTTGATTTGAAGCTTTCGTGACTGCTGGAATCCATACTCTTTGATTCTTTCGGTAAAGTCACATAGGTAGAAATAAAATTAAATAAATCACGAAGTTTCGAACGCAACACAAGCGTTCGTCTTCAGGTGAAAATCGCGATAGCTGCGATGTCTGCTGCGAGCAACATAATGCCTGCTGCCTTGGTTCAGGTTGTGGTGGTAATGGGGACTGTGCTCGGGTGAGTGATGGTGATTTGCGGTGATGGTGGTGACCAAGGCGATGTAAATGATATAAGTGAAGGTTATAGTGGTAGTGGAGAAAGCGTATATTCGATTTGAGTAATTTGCAGGTAATTTTATCAAATATGTGGCCCACGACGTTGGCACACAATGGCCAACTCGAGTGATGGACATCATGAGAACTTTAAATTCCCCTGTGAAGCAGACGGCATGTGTTTTTTTTGGTTAATACACCCAACAGTAATAACCAGGGTGGCCGCTGGATTTGATCCATGAACCTCTGTAACAAGCAGTAAACGTGCTACAAATAGTCCATGTTACTGCCCATATCAGGAATGCTGTTTTTTTAGCTGTATTGATTGGCCAAAGGGTTTTTGAGTTTTTTTTATTTGAAAGCGCCCTGGGACGCTCCGCATGAAGAACGATAAATTCTTGCAATTTGGTTTCTACTGTATACCTAACATCATCATTCTCACCACATAATCACATCATTATAATAATAACCATCATCACCATGATCACTAAACCCTCTCGTCTCTACAGGCGCCGCCACCAACGGCGATGACGGGAAACCCTCGTCTCCATTTTCCGCTGATGGTGTCCATGCCCCATCATCATCGTCTTCATCGTCATCATCGTCATCAGATCCCGGCAAAGTCCCACTCGACCCGTTGGCACATGCGGATGGCACCGTGCGCTTCCTGGTGGTGCCGGCGGATGGTGGCGACGGTGGCGACGATGGCGGAGGAGACATCACGGTGGATGTATTCACGGGGGAGCTGCGCACGGCGCGCGTGCTCGACCGCGAGACGCGGGACCGCTACCACTTCGTCGTTCTGCCTATCGCACCGCTCCTCTTCACCGCCTCCTCGTCGTCGTTGCCACTCGACTCCCCCGTCCGCGTCACCGTGCGAGTCCTCGACGTCAACGATAACGAGCCGAGGTTTGGATCGCGGCATGCGGCACGCGGGGACGCCCGCCACGATCTCTACGATGTTGGTGACCCTGGAGGTGATGACGGCACCAAGGAGGATGAGAAGGTGGGTGGTGCACCGTGCGCTCGCGGAAATGTTGGTGCGATCGCAGTGTGGGCAGGTGATGGGGTTGAGGATGGTGATCAATGATGCTAATGATGAAGCTGATGTTGGTGTTTGAGATGAGTTTGACATCGAAAGAGTTGCTGCTGATGCTGTTGCTGCAACTGGTTAGGTGGCCGATGACATCAATGACAGGTGTGCAATTGTCAGATGAGGCCAACGATACAGACGACGTTGGTAACAGTGGTCACAAAGATACTAACCATCACCCAAAACCCCACTGCAGGTTCGTCTGGACATCTCTGAGGGGGTCCCGGTTGGGGCGCGTTTCTCCCTTACGCCGGCATGGGACCCCGACGAGGGGACACATGGTGTGCAGGGGTACACCCTCTCCGATGACGATGACGACGACGGCAGCGAGACCGACACCAAACCCATGGATGCCGGCTCCGTCCCGACCCAAGATGACCGACCCCGTGGCGAGCAGCGGCGTCGCCTGCCATTCTCGCTTGAGTGGGACGTCTTGGCCGAGCGGCTGGAGCTGGTGGTGGTGTTACCGCTGGACCGCGAAGCCCGCCCTGGCGGGTATCGGCTGCGGGCGCGGGCCCACGACGGCGGGGCGCCGGCACGCGTGTCGCGGCCCGGCCTCGCCGTGCGTGTTGTCCTGGGGGACGAGAACGACCAGGCGCCCGCATTCTCACGGCGCCGCTACGGCGCCAGCGTGCGTGAGGACGCGGCGCTTGGCACGAGCGTTGCGCGCGTGCGGGCAAGCGACGGAGACCAGGGCATGAATGCACGGGTGGGTGGAGGGGTCTGGGGATGGATTGTGCATCTGCATGTGTGTACATGTCTACACACGTGTGTAGAGAGATTCGTGCTTGATGCACTATGAACTTCACTTATATCGTCTCTATCACCTTGGCCCCCACCATCATTACAATCACTATCACCACAACCACCCTTCCCTGTGGTTCCTCAAGCTCTCCGACTCATCCTCTCACTCTGTTCAACCCTTCTGCATACTCCAATGTTCACCCTCCTCCCACACCTCTTCCTTACCCACCTCCCATCCATAACCCTTACTGCTCACTCTTCTTCCTCCTCCTCTCTCCCCCCCCTTGCCTCACCGCAGGTTCGCTATGAGCTGGACCGTCGTCTCGGTGACCCTGGCGGGTTTTTCTCGGTTGACCCGCGCTCCGGCGTCGTCCGCCTGCGCCGCCGCCTCGATTTCGAGTCCCAGCACCGGCACGAGCTGGTGGTGGTGGCACGCGATGGGGGGGCGCCCCCCCTCAGCGCCGCCGCCTTCCTCTCGGTGCGCGTCGTCGACGTCAATGAGCACCCCCCTCTCATCAGCGCCATCCTCTTCAGGTCGCCATGGTGATGATGGTGGTGGAGGAGCAGGGGAGGGTGATGGAGATGATGGTGAGATGATGGGCAGGATGACATTGGTGAACTGGGTCAGACCATGAACATGAGACTTGGGAACCCGATTTAAATACGGGTGGGTGGTAGGGACCCACATTTGAACCCAGGATCTCAGGAGTGCTGGCTCAGTATTTATGACCTATGATCCACCTGGGCATATCCTATGTCTTATTGTTGATGTCATCATTAGAAGCAGGAATTTCCATATCATCAACAGCATCAACATCATGTCATCACCATTCTCAGCAGAACCATCGTGAAAAGCATGATGATGATATTTCTGCGGCTGATGGTGATTATTATGCTAACGTTTTACTGGTTGCTTCTGATGTTTCAGCTGTTGATGCTGGTGATGATGACAGTGATTTTGGTAATTCCGATGCTGTTGCTGATGTTATGCTAATGGTGGTACATTTAACGTTATCGCGATGATAGTGATGCTGCTTTTCCTGCTGTCAATGTTAATAGCGTTGCTCCTGCTGATAGTTCTGATGATCATAGTAATGCAGCAGCTGATGACGTTGATGCAATGAAATGATGCTGCTCACCAAGTGACTGCTGCTGATAATGATGTCAATGATGCTGACAAAGTCGCTGCTGTTGCTGCTCATGTTGGCAGTGTTGCGACTTAATTACTTTAACGATGTTGACACAGCTGCTGGTGCCGTTAACGATGCTGCTGTTGCCAGGGACGATGCTAACGTAACTGTGTCGATGATCGCAGGTTCGTCTCCACGGGTCCTCGTCGGGGTCGTGAGCGAGGATGCACCTCTGGGCCTCATCGTCGCCCGTGTCTCCGTCCATGACGCCGACCTCCCCGACCCCACTGCCCTCCCCGGCCCCCCCTCTTCTCCCGACCTCGTCGCCTGGCCCGGACCCCCACGGAACGATGGTAATGACAATGACCACGAGGGAGAGAAGGAGGAAGAGGAGGAGGATGAAGAGAGTGACGAGGCCAGCCGAGGGAACGGAGGTAAGGAGTGTCGCCCACACTGTACACACTGAGCAAAATCACTCGGAATACGTACATGCAATCTCATTGTGTCTCAGAAGCGAAGCAGGTTTCAGCCTGCATTGTGCTCGGGTAGGTGGTGAGCAGCAGAGGACAGGGCAGCAAATTCCAGCGTGGTGAAGAATGGTCAGATAACCTCCACAACTGCGCGGCGTGGGTAGGCCATCATCCAGCAGTAGATTTTTAAAAAAGGGTCATACATGTACTTCACCACTATGTTTGTGCCTGATTAGGTCTGCTTTGAGGCCACGTGAATTGTGGATTGCTCGCTGGAAAGAGGTCATGTGACAGACCCAGGTGTAATGTATTAACTGGCTGAGATGAGTGGCAGAGAGCACCACCTGTTCTGCTCACTGTGGCACACATGCACACTTGCATATGCACTCCCATGGGTTTCTTATGGATATATTCACCCCTGCCATTTGAATTTCTATCACTGGCTCAGGATGGTGGCAGACACTGCCACATTGCTCCTCAGCAGAGAGATGCTGAATTTGCCTTGGACATGGAGACAGAGCCCCTGCTTATCATTGTAGACTAATAAGGCAAGTACTATTAGCGAGAACCTGTTTAGGCCAGCAAAAGGCACGAAAATATACATTTCCAAAGTAAAAAATTAAAACCCAAAACTGGAACCCAAATAATGGTTGTAGCAACAAAACATAAGCCGGGTAAGGTTATGGACTGACATTGTGACAACTTTCCTGGGTGACTGTTGCCCAGGAGATGCTCAGCCAGCATCACGCGACGACTCCCAAGATGGCGGCGACGACTCGCAAGATGGCGTCTGGGATCCAAGCGGAGGAAATGGCGGCGCCGGAGGTGGACGCCCAAGGTCGGTTCACCTTGCCAGTCGATTTCTTAATCCTAGGATCTGGCGCATGACAATATTTAACAAGGAAGAACAATCATGCATATGCATGGGTTCTGTAACACTCTGGGCGTGCGTTTGTCCTTGAGAGTATTTAATTAGAGATAACGTTACACGTCAAACCGCAAAAAGAGATGATGTCATCGGGAGGGGCAGGCGGAGAGGAGGCGAGCGTGTCTCGGCCATTATGGCACCAAGGTCAAGGGGAGATGAAAGCGGCCAGGCGTGGTGCTGGCTACCTTCCCTCTTTGAGCATAGTGCCAGCCTTAATAGGTGTTCACAAGCAGCACTTACCCCAACTGTTCAGGCTAAAGGGGATCTTTGTCTTTGTGTATACATGTTTGCATACAATTGTACGTACACGTGTGGCCGTGCATGTACACAGGAGAGTGCGTGCATACAGTAGGTTTGAGTGTACATATATGCATGTACACGTGATAGTGTTGTGTATACAGTCTATGGGCATGTACACTTAACAGAGTTTGCTCAATCGACCCCATTGGTCGCTCGCTCACGCTCGCTCACAGTCGCCCGCGCTCACCCAGGCTACCCACGACGCTCACGCTCTCGGGGGGCGAAGGCGTCTTCGAGCTCCTTCCCTCGGCCAGCGCCATCACCGCTTCCTCCTCCTCCATCTCCGACGCCGGCACCGCTCCATCGCCCGCCCCGCACAGCGGCACTGGCGCGGCGGGGGGCACCGGCGGCTCGGGGGGCGTCTACCTCCTGCGTGTGAGCGGCGCCCTGGACCGCGAGGCGCGCGGGCGCTACCGCCTGACACTGCGCGCGCGCGACGGCGCGTGGCCCCCGCTCGAGTCGACGGCCGTGCTGGACGTCCTGGTGGACGACGTCAACGACAACGACCCTGTCTTCGTCCCCTCGTCGTCGTCCTCGGACGCCTTGGCCGACGTGCCCGAGAACGCTGCCCTGGGGACGTGGGTGGCGCGGGTGTCGGCGTCGGACATGGACGCCGGAGAGAACGGGCGCGTGTGTTACGCCGTCGTAGGAGCGCGAGCGGCTGGAGGTGACGACGGCACTACCGCCGACGGAGGTGACCGCGCTGTGCTGTGGGGTTTCACGGGTAGGAAGAAGTACGGCAAGCAGAACCATCCGTGTAGTTTATGGGAGGCGATCTGTGTGGAGTTTCTGTCGGTGGCTCGGGGCTGCTGATAGAGATGAGAATCAGCCCACGTGGGACACCTTTGGCTCAGAGAGATGTTGAGTGGTCTGTGCAGTGGCAGTGAGGTAGCACGGTTGACATAGGTCCTGGCACAAATAATGAAATAAGCCTTCCCCTCTCCAATATCCGCCCTGATTGTAGCCCGGCACCTGAGTCGTTTTGACCCATGGGTCCAAGTGCAGTTACACCAGCTGCACACTCTATTCATATTATCAATCATAATGCAAAGCACTCAACTGTAAGGTGGACATTGAATTCGCTGTGGCATAATAATCGTAGTCAGTCATCGACAGCTGACCATAATGCACTGGTTTTCGTGACCCAAATCCCAAGTTTTAAATGTTTCCTCTTTGTTTTTTCTCTGGCAGACGGTCGAGCGTGGGAGTGTGCGCACACATCGATATCTTCATCATTGTCCGACGTGGGGGGCTGGTTCTCGGTGGACCCTGCCACGGGGGTGCTGAGTGTGGCCGGGGCCCTGGACCACGAGCGTGCTCCCCGCGGGGTGCTCGTTACCGTCGCAGCGAGCGACGGGGGCGCCCAGCCCCGCGTCACCAAAGCGACCCTGCTCATCAGCATCGCCGACAGCAACGAGTGCCGCCCCGAGTTCCGTTTCCCCGGCGACCGGGAGTTAAACCTGAGCGTGGCGAGGTCAGAGGCCATGGTCGGGAAGTGCCTCGGCAAGGTGAGCGCGCAGACTAATTGGCAGCCGGGCAGCAGCTTGGTCGCACTGGTGAATCCTAATTAGGAGGGCTTAATTTCTCACTCGGTATTTTCCAGAATGAAAATGTCACATATGTGACTTGATTTGATGTCACATACATTTGTGTGTCTCTATTAAAAGGAGTTTACCTTCAGGACAAGGACGTTAAATGCATGTACTGTCCTTAAGGGCATCTGTTTACCCGAAGTGCTGTTCATTCACGTTTTTTTGCACAACACCACTACATGGACTACTGGATACCCACCACCGTACACACACGCCACCGTACACACCCTGCAGAACACACACCGACGCGCTCACACCATCACACACACCACCGTGCACACACACACACTGCACACGCACACTGCCGCACACCACTGCACATGCACCAATGCACACACATCGCAGTATCATAAGGAAAAAAATTAAGCGAGATGGATGCGGCATGCCAAAATAATTCCAGACTGTTTTGGAATTGATTAGGACGAAACCGGTGTTAATGTGGTTGTCTGGTATCGAGTGTCAGGATTATATCCTCCCTGTCCAGCCATTGCCATGGTAATACCGAATTTCCACCAATGGCCCAGGGTCGCCAACGGAGGTATGATAAGTCACACTGATGATCTCTAATTCGGTCGAGACGAGCATTGAGCATTAATACAGCTGTCACCAGTGGTACTCCTCTGTCGATACATAGCCCTGCCATTAAAATTAGGAATTTAACATCTGCCAGTTGAGAAGAGTGCTGATCCATGCTTGGCTGAGTAATGGGACTCAATAGCTTGGCTTGTCTTGTGTAGGATAGGCATGATGATTTCTAATATTATGAGGCTCGTTTTGATGCAGTTGTCATGTACAATATACCAGCTCAGCGTTGATGATGCCCAATAATTAGGAAACTGGTATTAAATTCAGCTGTCAAAGAGAGACGTTGATGCTACATTAGTAGTGGTTATCTCTTATGTGGGTTAAGCCTGCATTGACGTAGTTGTCATGCATGATGTACCAGTGCCAACACGACATTGACTTTTATAATAAGTTCAAAGCTGTTAACGCAAATGGCATATTGCTTTCCCACCACTTCTCTTTAACCGTGCCCCCGTGGCAACATGAGGAACGCAAGGAATTGTGGGGGAATGTCTCCCATGATGCATAGCGAACACGAGCGTGAATCGTTTGGGGATTTTGTGAATTTATTTGGGAGAGCGGAAAAGTGTGAGTGTTTTTCTTCCAACCCGAACTTTTTTTTCATTGACGTAAAAAAAAAGTGTTTTCTCCCAACAAAGTCGCGGCTTTGTTGGAATTGGGAGAGAATTGCTGTTTCGCTGACTGTGTAATTTGTTAATGTCCATTCAAACATCCGACAAAACGTTCTAAGCGAACGTGTGTAAATGGTACAGCCGTACGTACATATGTGTATGTTCACCCGCCCACTCATATATATATATATATACGCGCAGACACACCCACCCACCCAGTCTTACATATATACACAGACAAACACACCCGCCCACACCCACTGACATGTATACACACTCACCCGCTCACTCGTATATACACCGAGTAGACGTTTACACACCCACTATTACATAAAAGAATATACAACATGCATAAGACTATACAGAGTGTACGTCTTTGACACATGCACAATACAAAGATCTCCCGTAGGACCTTTAACAGACTTTGGAACAAGTGCTGTTAGTGAGCACCTATTAAGGACCCCACGGCACGCAAGAGAGGTGGTGTGCCCAGCACCACGCTGATGATTACACACTGCGATAGGTACTAATTTGAGGCTGAATCGACCTAGGGGGGAAGCCCTGGACCATTTCAAATATTCGCCATTGTTATCGGTCGTGAGCGGGAATTGAACTCAGGTCACCGGGTTCGGAATGGAATGCGCTAACTACTGCGCCACCGCTTCCAAAAACACGCAGACACAGACGCGCACACACACATACACAAACGCCCTTCATGTTAAAGCAGATATTGTGTGTTCACAGAGGAGTGTACGCGCACACCTGCTGCACGCGTGAATGACTGATCAGCGGAAAGGTTTTGAGTGAGATATTTTATTTCACACCGGCATAAACCAACAAGAATGTGTCCCAGGTTGGGAAACGTCACCTCGAACTCAAACCCGGTCATTAATTCTCCATCCGACCTCAAGCCTGGGAGTAAAGGAGCCTTGTTGTCAATCTTTGAAGTCGGTTGCCTCCCTGAAAATGTTTTTTATTCCTCCGAGGTCTAAGGTCGACAATCAACGCCGGTGCTTTCAGGCCTTCCTAAGGTCGTTCCGCCTGCCCACACGGCACATGCGTCAGTGTCTGCTCATTCCTGTGCACGAGTGGAAGCATTCGCACGCGGGCACAAAGAAATCCCATTTTAGCCTCAGCAGACTGTTGGGGCGAGTGCTGTTAGCGAGCAAGCCGAGTTAGGCCGGTGCGTTACTTTAGGGGGATGCTGTGGCCAGCGGCAAGTCCGGCCCGCCTTTCTCTTACTGATGTCGACACATTGTAGCAGGTACTCATTTAAGACTGAGTCAACCTAGGGGAAAACCAGGACGGGTTCAGTTTATAAGGGAGAAATGAGGAGTGAGATCGAGAAAGAACAAGAGAAACGGAGAAACCCGGAATATTCTTCGTACAGAAGAAGAGAGAACGAAGGTCTAGGGAGAGTGCAGAGATGTGAGAGACAAAGGAAGGTGAGAGATGTAAAACATCGTAGCGAGAGAGAAGGAGAGACACGAAAGAGCGGAAATGAGAGACACGGAGGTTTCGGGAGAGTTGAGAGAGGCATGGGAGGAAAGGGGGAGAGGTGTGAGGAAAAGAGAGAGAGACGAGGGTGGGAAAGGGAAAGACAGATGGGGTTAGACAGAGGTGAGTCGTAGAGCAGACGGGAGAGAGAGATTGCGGGAGATGAAAGAGGGGAGATGAGAATCGGGGAGAGAGCGGAGTGTGAGTGGAGAGAGAGAGTGAGGTGACGAGGGTGTGAATTCAGAAGGAAGAGGCTGTGAGGGAGGGTTGCCACATTTTCCACAGACTATAAACCTGGACACGTTTCTCAGTCCACCTACGTCTATGATCAAAATGGTGCAGTTACAGAATACTTCTAGATTTGAAGTTTTCGTGACTGCAAGGATCCATACTCTTTGGTTCTTTCGGTAAAGTCACGTAGGTGAAAATCATAATAAAATAAAAAAGTGAAAAAACAACCAAATTTAATTTTGATTTAATTTGGTAGTTTTTTCACTTTTTTATTTTATTATTATTTTCACCTACGTGACATTACCGAAGTCACAGTATACTGTTATGTGAAATGTAATACAATACCGGTACCAGTTCTTGGTACAAATCAATGTCTGCGACCCTAACATAGATGCCAATTTCCGGACTATCCTGGCCAACCCAGACAGGTGGCAACCCTCTTGTGTGTTAGAGGGGATATTGTGAGGGGAGAGTTTAAGGAGAGAGTGGTATGAGGGGAAAGTGTTATGGGATCGGGTGATGGGATGCTGAGAGGAGAGAGAGATGGGAGAGTGTAAGGGGTGAGCGAGGGAAGAGAGTGGGTGAGTGGACAGTGATGGAAGGATTATTTTATTAATTGATTATTTTATTAATCCATGATGGATGGATTATTTATTTTATTTCTATTATTACTTTTAGTAATTTTTTATTAAATTTTTTACCTACGTGACTTTACCGAAAAAACCTAAGAGTAGTGATGGAAGGGTGTGAGGGGAGAGGGTGATGGGAGAGTGAATGAGGGAAGAGATGGTGATGGGTGAGAGTGTGGAGAGAGTGTGAGTGTGAGGAGTGTGAGAGGTTTATTAATATAAGAGTGGTGGCAGAGAGTGAGGGGAGAGTGAGGAGTGAGTGACGGTGTGAGGAAAGAGGATGATAGGATATTGATGGGAGAGTGTGAGGGGGGAGAGAGAGGGCATAGAGTGGGAGTGTGAGGAAATAGTGTGAGTTAGTGTGAGGGACAAGGGTGAGAAGATATTGGTGGGAGAGTGTGAGAGGGAGCTAGAGTGAGAGGAAAGGGAGAATGCAAGGGGAGAGAGTGTGGAGGAGAGAGTGTGTGAGTCTGTCTCGTCAGATAAACGCGCTCGCTGCGTGATCTGATCGCTGTGAATGCGAATGTGTCGCTGTGCGTCACTGACTGCACGCGTGTTTGTGTGTAACTGTGTGTGTAATTGTGGCACAAGCGTCGTGGTCAACGTCACCGCCACTTAGTGGCGAATGGCGGTTGTTGTTGTTGTTGTGTAATTGTGTTTGTGTCTGTGATTGTGTGTGTGATTGTGCATTCACGCATGTGCATCCATTGACTGACTGTGTGCAGGTTGAGAGTGCCCGCGGAGCTGTGTGTCATTGCACGTGTGCGTGTGTGTGTGTGATGTGTCCGTGTTGTGTGATGCTCGCTTTGTAGGGAGCGGTGGCGCAGCGGTTAGCACGCTGCGCTACGAACCCGGCCACCCGGGTTCGATACCCGCACACGGCCAACACCAGTGACGATTATCTGAACCGGTCCTGAGCCTCCCCTAGGTCGACTCAGCCTCAAATGAGTACCTGGTGCGCTATGTAAACATCGCCACTGGGGAGACAAAGGCGGTCGAGTGTGATGTTGGCCACCCGCCCACCTCGTTTTCCGTTCCGGGCTTCATAGGTGCTCGCGAACAGCACTTGCCCCAACAGTCTGTTAAGATTTAACACAAATCTGGCTGTCGCCTGATGAAGCTGGTTGTAATTACTGGCGAAACGTCGTGCTCAGATTGTAAATGTTGTGGCTTGGCTCTCCAAAACACCGGTGTGCTGTGCTAGTGACGAATTGGCCACGTTCTGTTTACGTGACAACCCTTACTAGTTGGCTGTGTCGAGTGGTGGTGGGTTTAACAACACATTTATATATTTATGTGATCTAACCCAAAAACCTCTTATGTTATGAAAGTCTGTTAAGTCTATACGGGGGATCTTTGTCTT